CTGAATTATATTTTAAATAGTCGTCATTAAAAAAATGAGACCTAGAACATCTTACAACCAAATGATCACTGACAATTATATGTAAATACGCATCATCGACATATATTGAAAATTAAATTTTCAAAATAACTTTCAAGATAAAAAGCGAAAACAAACGAAATCTATGAGACGAAATCTATAGTCAAAGCAATCAGCGATTTGAAATAAAATTAATAAATAAGTCAAAAAAATGTATAAAAAAGTACCAACATCAAATTAAGCGGGAAAAAGGAAAAAATTGGACTCACCTGCAAATCGAGCCGATTGAGAAATTCAAGAACACGCTTGAAAACACTTCTCACAGACCTTGGCTCTAGGTTATTCAACCAATCTCTGGCCTCGATGCCACGCCGAATAATCTGACTAAGTACCGTACCCTCAACTCGAACAAACGCTCCAAGAAGACGAATTGAGACGGTGCGCAAGTCGTCAGCAAGTGGGCCAGGCGCCGTGGGCACAATTGGAAGTTGGCCAGTGAGTTTGATGGGTTGACAATCATTGTCTTTACTCCGATGAACTGAACATCAAAGACAGTCAAGAGTAATGATATAATTTTCTCGTTTGATAAGACTCTAAAATATATAGTATTGACAGGTGATAAAGAGTAAGATTTGTGTAGTGAAATAAACTGATGACTCTTCTGCTAAGTCAAAATGAATGAGCGACTCTTAGAAACAACTAGTCTCTCCTATTTTTAATAAATGTGGCTAACACCTTTTAGAACAGTGTAAGCATAGCCAAATTAAAAGTTTCGAAGGGTATATGTATTCTGGATACAAAGGAGAATATAGATAAAATCAAAAAAAAGAATTAAGAGAGAAATAAGGATTAGCTGTTTATAAAATGAGCCAATTAAACTAAAGATGGATTCACACGATAGCATATCCAGTTGGCTCAACGACAAAATAATGGGATAACTATAAGTTAAGGGATACAATGATATGAGTAGGCCCTACGTTTCAATTGAGTTTCACACAGCCTTGCTTCTTCAAAGGTAATCTTATCCTGAGTGATAAGACCTATATTAAGTCGAAACTGCAGTCCGATCTAGATGAGAATACCTTTAGGGAAGCAAGCCTAAATGAAAGTCGGAAGAGAAGTTAGAGATTATCCTAGCATTGTGGGAAAATTTAACTGAGTCTTTCAACAGTTAGATTTACCGGTACTTTCTAAAACTAACCAACACGAATATAAAAAATACGGTTTGGGTAGATAATTAAGCAAATAAAATTATTAAATAGGCATAATTTTACATGCAAGCACAACATGATAGCAATCCTGTAAAAAAAAGTAACATACTTTCATTGTGTTAACAAAAAACGGCCGATTTGTCCCTGATTAACTAAAATACTCTATCGAAGGTATAAAGACAAAGATGGTGTGGCCTTTTGTGTGGTCGCAGTCTCCTTTGGTTGTATAGAGGTTTCGCAACATGGTCATATTGGTAGGAAGACTAATTGGAACGCACCTAGTCCGGGGTCCATAGTCTGCATGATCATTTCCAAAGTTGAACCGTAGACGTGGTACATTCCCAAACGTTTCGCCGGCATCGTCAGTGACGATCGCCATCCTAAGCACCATACAGCCACTCGTCAGAGATAAGTGAAGCCGATCCTTTGACCAAGCGTATGCAAAACAAATATGGTATCTCCCCTTTCGCTCTGGATTATCCGCCTTTCCGGTAGCATCCTATCATGCCTTCACTATTGCAATTTTTACCGTGTTTATTTAGATAGTGTAGTGTGCTCCTTTGAGCGACATCAAACTTTCAATCTCCAACTCTCGTTTTCACCCCACCCCCCCTCCTTGTGCAGGGAGTATTGATCAGAGTCTGGGTGATTAAAGTATGGAAGTAATATTGCCAAACAATGCACTAATTACAGCCGGACAAAGAAGACTATTGTAAGTCAATCCTGCCATTTGGCCTTTTTTAATTGTTGCAAACATCATGGTATCGCTCCCTGATTCGGTAATCTAATAAGGAAGTGTCATTCGGACACTGTGAATAAAATTCTTTATCGCGCTTCCATGCAGAAACTAGAGGAAAGTTACAAGATCGAGAGGCGTAAGCTATTTAAGTTCATAGATCTTAAGTCTAGGTTAAGGAAGGATTTGGGGAGGGTTCTCGCTTCGGATGATTTTCAAAAACTCCAGAGCATGACCGACTAGAGGTCACAGAGGGTCCGGGATCTGATAAATAAGCGACATGATAAGAAATTGCTTAGCTATAAGATAATAAGACAACGGAAGACCAAGTCAACCCGTGCAAATTATATTGGTTCTCTCGACGATAGGACAAAGGTTGTAAACCTATCTTCAATCCCTCTTGATTCTGAAACTACGGATCTCCTAAAGAAGGGGTTACATTTTTCACCAGGTAATGAAGGAAATGTTCTTAGTGATATCCTGGCAGAAGTGGTCAATATAACGGATAAATTTCCACAAGATACAAGGCGGGAGATGAAACTGGAAATAATCCCACGGATCCTGACACATCAAGAACCTATAAAATGGAGCAGATTGGCTGGTATTCGGAAAAAATTACAAATGAATGATCAAATAGTTTTTCAGGAAGATAAGGGAGGAGCGACAGTTGTAATGGACAGGAAACATTACACGGAGAAGATGGACAGTATCCTAGGCGATCGAAACACTTATCAAATACTAACGAAGAATCCAACCACGAAGATCAACAGAATACTGAAGAATATGCTCGAGGAAATGCATACAAATGGGGAAATTGACAGATGGATGATGAAATCTTTAATAAAAAATAACGCAAGACCACGGACAGCCTACAGACTATCCAAGATAGACAAGGAAGGAAATCTGCTAAGACGAATAGTCAACAACAAGCATGGCGCAATAAACAAACTAGCAAAATTCATTTGCTTGAAGCCCAAGAAAGTAAATGACATACTTTCGAATACCGTCAAGAATTCATATGAATTTTTTCAAAGGATCCAGAACATTGGGTTAGTGGGGTCGGAGC